TTAATGGTGCTCATTAGTTTGTCTTTATAAGGCTTTTGTTTAATGTCTGTTGTAACACAGGGCATGACTTTGACATAAAGCATTTGTTTTAGTTTAACCCTAGGGTGCGGTTTTCTTTTGTATTCGTTGAAATGTATGGAATCGTTTTCTCTTCAGTAATACATCCCAATTAAATCAGTTTCAGGGAATTTGGTCCACTTACACAAATGTAAATAATTTATGTGTATGAATTAGTTGTAGAATAAGATAATTAAATATTTGCATTCACTTTGTCACAAAAAGGACTAAGGGAGAATAAAGCTACTTCATTATATCTAGTTGAGATGTTAGTATAATATGGTAAGTGGGTTATTTTCATTTTTACATTTAACGCTTCCAATAAACAGGTAAGGTTTGGGACTTTTTTTTTTTTTTTTTTATGGATCACTGGGCTAACTTTAACACTTTACTGAGAAATCTATGTTCTTTAGAGGGTTTAATAGCTGAAACTCAGATTACAAAAACAGCCTAATGAATCAGATAGAACCACTCCCTGCCTTGTTCATATGGCTCTGTATGGAGTTTCAATTAGACAAAGACAGGCAACAGCTAATGTTGGACTTTCTTTTAATAAACCCCCAAATGATCTGCAATAACTATGCGTCTTGTATTAAATATTTTTAAAAGACCGCTTTCTTATAAAAAATAAACATGTGTTTGCTTTAAAAACCTTTGTCCTTTTAAGTGGTCAATTTAATTTTTCAGTATAGTTTTGGGTTAAATTAAAGTGTAAGGGGACAGGTTAATAGCTAGGGAGATGCTTGTACACAATTTCTATTATTCTGTATTTTTAGCATGGAAGGGCCTGTGCCAATATTACCACTGCAGGGCATTAGCCACCAACTTCTATTTTACCAACCTAAGAAGGAAAGGGAAACATCAGGGTCAAGTCTCTATGTGCTAGAAGGAAAGGTGGTAATTACGGTGACTTGCAGCAGTGTCTCTGTTGTTTGGTGGAGGAGGGGGTACTATGATGTGAGAAGGCTCAGGGTCTTAATAATCAAACTGGCAATATGTCAGAAGAATTAAAATCTGGAGAAAATTAACGGTGGGCTGACATTTTTTGTATCTTTTTTACTGACTGCTGGTACTGGAGGTTTTTGCAGTCATTATAGATAGAGGGGGGTCTACTCCCTTTTAAAAAGTTATTCCATTTATCCATCGTGAGGTTTCCACTTCTGATGTCCAATAATAGCTTTTTAAGCTGTTGAAAATGTTTCAGAGGAAAAGTTGCAAGGGACAGGTTTACCAGTAGTACATTGTTAAAGGATGACCTCTCCAACCTCTAAATTTGAAGAATCAGCCTCTGATAAGTAAAGGCAGTTGTTCAGATATTGTACTTGGCAAACCTGGAAGTAAGACTGTTTTCCTTGAGATGCTGAAGTACATCTGAGTCTGGTGTTTTTTTGGTTTTGTCCAGGAAATTAGGCAGTCGTCATCCATGTATAGGAAACACACACACTGCAGAACTTGTATTCTTAGTTGTCGTCCCCATCCCTTGTACATACTGCATTAATTTAATTTTCTTTCATACAAAATCGACTGTATGCTTCTTGGTAAATAGAGTAGCTCTCTTCAAGCATTTATAAAGCACCCTCACTTTGGATAGCAGGAATTGTATTGGCCACTGTCTATCTTCTTGACAAGTAAGACCCTTTATCCAACTGAGGTGACAGTCTTATATTTTAAACCCTTTCAAAATACCCTTTCATATATTCAGATTGGATTTGGGTCTCAGGGAGGAAATGAAAATATACTTGACTAGAGGGAACAGTACTAGTACTAGGCAGCAGTTTTATATTATATTTGTATGGAGGGTGAATTGGTAAGTTTTCTGTTTATTTCAAAAACATAGGAGTATTCCTTTTATGGCTTATACAGACTCATGTAAAGGCATGTTGCCTGTTAAAGCCCAATTAAACAATCAGTTAATTTATTATTAATATACAGGATTTATATATCTTCAACAGTTTGCACAGCGCAATACAATATAAAGGAAGATAGTACAATTACAATACAGTTCAGTATAGAAGGAATGGGAGGGCCCTGCTCATGGAGCTTACAATCTAAAAGGAGGGGGAAGTGGTACGAAAGGTACAAATAGCTTTGGGATGAGCTGATGGAGGTGGCTGAAGTACAGTTTTTGGGTGGAAGAGGGGTAGGCTTCCCTAAATAAATTAGTTTTCAAGGATCACCTAAAGGAAGACATGGTAAGAGCTAACCGGACATACATGGGTAGGGAGTTGCAGAGGATGGGAAAGGTTCTGGAGAAGTCCTGGAAGCAAGCATGGGAGGAGGTAACAAGGGATCTAGCGAGCAAGATGTCTTGGGAGGAGCAGAGAGGACGATTTGAATGTTATGTGCAGATGAGGTTTGTGATGGAGCTAGGGGCAGTGTTGTGGATGGCTTTCTATGTTGCGGTTTACTGTTATCAGTTTTGTATGTTGTGGTTTATTGTTATCAGTTTATAAGTACATTCTAGGTACATCAAAACAAAAGACATATGACGTCTTACATATTACTTTCTAAAGCCGCCACAGCCTGAGTAGAAGAGCTTTCCCCCCCTGCCAGCAGCTGCAGAGTTGGGACCCTTGTTGTCGTGGTTGAAGCAGTGGTCTGGCATGCCCCCTGCTGAGCCTGGCCTATAACTCTGCAATAAGCAAAGCTCATTCTCTTAGTTGATTGGAGTACTCTGGCTCTGACTCAACAGGGGATGTGTTGGACCTCTGCATATAGATCCCTACAGAGAATAAGGACCCACTCTGCAGCTGCTGGTAGGACACAAGCTTTTTTACTTAGGCTGTTGCCGCTTTACACAGATAGCAATATGTAGGACATTGAACACATTTTTTTATGTCCCTGAAATGTATGTAGCTGATTTAAACTAAAGATTCATTTGGACTTTAGATACAGAAAGTGAGGAGTAAAGATATACAAAGACACCACTAGAAACCTGAAGCTCCCACTGTCAGAGTTTCAACTTGAAGGGCATCTGTATGCGCAATATGGGAAAACTGGATGATTGGTTTATTGATTATGTACTATAGCTTAGTGCCTCTAGCGGTAGGTCTAATGATGGGTACAATGATCATAGCTAAGAGGAAGAGTTGTTTGCGAGAACCCAATCTTGAGGCTGCAACTTGATTGCAGAGACAGCCCGTTTCCAACTTGCAGTAAGCAGGATTGACTGATGCATACATGTTTGAGATATATCGTGTGTGTATGTGTGTATATATATATATATATCTATATATGTGCGTGTGTATATATATATATATAATACACACACGATATATCTCAAACATTTATGCTTATCAGATGGCATTTTCCTGGAAACTGTATATGCCATCATAATTTTTTTATACTGTACCTTGCGACACAGCAAATAAATTGGCAACTTCACTCACAGGGGCACCAACAATTTGAAGCTCAGTAAGCTCTGACACAGACTCCTTTTTACTAGCAGCGCATGCAGTGAATGACGCAACTGAGGATTCCCACCTGTTAGCTAGGTGTCTCATCACACAGCGGAAGCAATAGAATCACTTCTGCTTTCGATGCAAAACATTGTCATTTCACACCTGCAAAACATGTAGTGTTTTTTTTTTTTGTCTAACCCCTGTACATGCTAGGTTGTGCACATTCATTCTTTATATATTTGATGGAATTGTTATTTTAAATAAAGTGATTTTTTTTTTTTTAATATGATTTACAGTATATGGTCTCAAAATATATGTGACATCTTTAAAGTCCCGTGACTAGTAGTTGTACAGTACATATGGAATTACTACCTGAAACTTGTCCAGTTACAACTATATGGGCACATAGCAAAAAATATCCCCAGAAGAATAAGATGTGCAACTTTAGTAATTCACAGAAATGTATGTACTCCTGATATAGGATGGATTGAATTGACTCCCTATATATGCTAGGAATCCTCTTGTGCTGTTTAAGACATAAACAAGATTATTTTTATATTTATACTGAACTATTAGTCCTGTCCTGTTTTTGTTTTTTTTTACATTTATTTTTTATGCCTAGACTAATATGCAAAAATTAACAGTTACTTATGGTCAAGGTATTATCTCTGAATATAATGAGAGCTGTGAACAGTGATTATATTCTGTCATCCATCATTTTACATGATTAAAATCACTTTATTAATTTGACATTCACTCCTTTGTGTTTTAAAACAGGATTTTCATAATGGCAGCAAGCACTCTGACATATTTTATAATAGGGCTTTGCCTGTTCCACATTTAATTATTTCATAAAGGTATTTAATTAACATGGTATTAAGTGTGTAATACCCACTGATTGCTAAACTGTATGATGCCCCCTGTTTTTTTTTTTTTTTTTTTTTTTAAGCATGGGGTTCTGGACGTTTAGCATGGACCATAAAACAAGATCATTTTTAAACATGAAAAAAGAAAATTTGAACATATTTGTGAAGCAGCATTGACTGCTTATTGGCCACTGAATGCCCTGTGCATATTTTCCTACAAACCGTTGCCAACTGTTTGCCAGAAAGGTCACATTTATCACCATGCACTGCATTTGCTTACATTTTAATGTTCATCATAACAATAAGTCCCAATAATATAGTAGTTTGAAGTGTAGTTACGATTACATTGTATAGTATTAGTTTAAATGGATTGGCTATTTTTTCAGCTAAAACTTTGCAGTATATCTCTGTTATCAAATACTTGGTATTATAAAAGGTGTTACTTGCTCTGTGCTCTTAAAATAAACCATTTAGTCTAAGCTGATTTTTCATTATGTCATCAAAGTAAAAACTAGAATAAACCATCCATGTGATAGGCAGAGATGTGTGTGCTTTTTCTGCATGCTTGCGATTCTCCTTGACATAACAGTTCTAAATGGATGCGTGTCTGGATTTGTAGTTGCCATTTAGAGCTATTCGTTATATAAAATAATTTCTCTGTGTACCTCTGTTTTAGGGGGGTGCAAGTTCAAGCTACAAAATCTGCTGCTACTGTCAAAAAGTATGACTTAAGTAAATGGAAATATGCGGAGCTGAGAGATGCGATCAATACTTCATGTGGTAAGTCAACAAAACAGACTACTGCTGCTATAGCAATAGGTCATTAAGGATAAGTACATTAGAAGAAATTATACTTTACCTTGAGGCTGACATGTGATAGATGCAGAGTTCTTGTAACCATGTAGATGTTTTAGGTACTGAATGCCTAGATTCTCTAAATTGTTCTTGGAGACAAAAGATCTCCCAGCTGATAGCTCAGGTGGTATTGGCAAGTAGTTGGATGTAACGTAAATCTGTACTAGTATGGTCAGAACTAAACAAACAGGGTCACTTATGGGATATTATTATCAAGTATTCAACAATTCTACTGAGTCTCCTATGGATGCTTAATCACTTTTATTTATAGTGCCTCTGGAATTGAGGAGCCAGTTTCAATACTTGTGATGTCCAACTTATTATACATGGTGTGTGTGGTTCATAACTCTACCATAGCTATTGTTCTACTGCATGTATATATGAAATCACTTTTTTTTAAATTAGAAACAATAGCTGATAGTAATTTGGCTACTATATTATCTTTATTATAAGAAGTTTGTATCCAGCGTTAGCTGTGATCTAACATTTAACCTAAAATAACTTAATTAGTTAATTTTTTCTTCCACTTCTCCTTCAACATTTTATTTTGCGTCACTTTTGGTCACCTGTTAAGAATGTGTTGGACGTATATAAAATGTGCTTTATTATGCCATTCTATTCTTCTCTGGTAGCCCACTTGTTAATATCAGTATGCCTATGGCACTTTAAGAAAAATCAATAAAAATATGCAGGAGTTATGCAAGATTAAATTATCCCAAAGCGCTTAAAAATGTAAATTGGTTTCTCCAAAATAAGCAAAATTCCAATTAGTAAAATGAATCAGTAATTTCCGGTGTGACTTTCAAGCAGAACAGCTTTGTACTATCTTTCGCACAAAAAAATATTGTAACAGCTCAGACAGTCTTACTTTTATTAATGGATCTCTATTTTACACAAATTACTTTTATGTCTTCGTCTGTTTAGTGTGAAAAAAGAGCTCTGTTAGTAGGCAACTGCCTCTGTTATCTTGCACTTCATCCCCTTGTGCTCCCATTAAAAGCGCCAGTATCTGGCTGTATTGTGCGGAGAGCTGAACTCCATCTCACCTCTAGAGAGAAGACAGCAGAGTTCCTAATAGATTGGCAAGAGATGTGTTGTCTCAGACAGAAAGGGCAGCTCACTGGCATGAAACAAATGACTAGAACAGTGATTGGGAGGGGTTTTTGCCATTTATGTTTTCTCCAAAGTGTTTTGCTAGTATGTCACCAGGAAGAATGTAGGATAACTCTCTGCACTTGACAGTTTTCCTTTAATTTTTTATTTAAAAGTAAATATTCTGTTTTATACATGAACTCAGTCACTGAGTTACTTGTGGAAAAAAAAATCTTGATGATACAGAGGTGATGGGCATTTCAGTTAGTTTTGACTAAAGGGCAACTTTAGTCAAAACATGGCAGTTGGTCATATAATTTATGTATACCTATGTCTGTTTTAGTTTCTGGATGGTCTGCTTAGCAATAAGGTGCTGTTCTAGATTTTCTTTGCTGCATATAATAATATTTAACTAACATCATGCCTAAATCAAAAAGGGAACTTCTAAGAGAATAACCCATATCACTTCTTGCATTTGTAATATGTTGAGTTTTGGCATACAAAATACTGCTACACTCTGTAGGTTTTGGCTGTGCATGTTGTTTTATTTTTTTAAAGAAGGATACAGTATGCTGCATAGGAGGTGAATAGAGAAGGTGGTCCCTAACATTTTCTTTATTTATTAGGCATATAGTATATTTTTGAGTGTGAATACAAAGCAATGCTCACCTGTCCTAGCAAGGCCCTTTCCAAGCATTAAAAAGCTCCACACGTTTTGCATATGGCTGTTATAAAGAGGTTTTTAGAAGATCTTGGTGTCTCAGTGATGTTCTGGGGTGCCGAATGAGTGGTCAGCCTGTTACAAATTTTCCCATAGCTCTCATATAATCCTTGCTGGGTTTCATGGTATTGCTTAATCAATATGAAGGCCCAAACAACTAAATTAAAACTTAAACAATTTATTGGAGTAATTGGGGCCCTGGCATACCTTAGATCATTTACAAAATGACATATTGTGTCTTTGACTCACTGCCAGTGTATCCACCACTACCAATAATGAAAGGTTACATGCCAAATCACCAGTAAAACCATGGGTTAGGTTTTACCTTCACTAAATTCACTGAACAGTCTTAGCCAGCCATAGAAGGAGCGATCTTCTTTCCTGCAACCACCAATTGCACTTGATTTCCCCCATCAACACAGTCAGTGGAGCCATTGTGTTCTCCCAGCAGAGGGAGCTGTCCCCAATGGAAGAATAGGCCAACAGGCTGGTTGTACCCAAGTTGATTGATTGATCAACTTTGGTATATTCAGCCTGCCCATACATGGTTCAAATCTCAACTAGTTCAGTCTTGGTACAGTATAATAATATTTGATTAGGTTGCTACTGTTTGCAAGTCATTATATTTTCTATTTTCTTACTGTATATATTTGCCAGTGAGCTGTACTATGTCGAAAAAATTACCTATACAGTAAAGGAGGTCATTGAGTGTGAGTAGCCAGTGACAGTCACCAACCTCTAGCAGGTTCTCAAAAGAATACACGCACTTCCAATACCAACTACTGCTTTCTCCTCTGAAAACTAGATAAACTTATTTGCCTTGATACAAAAGACATAGCATTAGCTGCTACAGGTAAACGGATTAGGATATTGATGAATACCATTAAAAAACTTGTGTGTACTTACCTGAATATTATTGAATATTTGTCGTTTAGAGTTGTGTTTTACATACTCTATATAACACTGCAAGTCCAGTACACCTAGTACTAGATAAACAATGGGATATACATTTAATATCAAAGTTTGTAGGTTAACATGATATGTAGAATAGCATTTATTCATGAAGATACTTCATTTTTAGAAAAATAAATTGCAGGCATGTGTTATTTATTCATCAAATACTTTGAGCCTGTTGTCATTTTCATGAATATGTCACATAAATAAAGTATCTTACCTGGATATGGCATCTATCTTATAACGGCAAAATAAAAAAAACATAAATAAGAATGTTGGCCTAGCACTGCTGACATTATCTGGGCACTCTGATATTTCTTGGTAGCATTAACCAAAATATGTTTTCTCATAAATCTCTTGAACAGACATCGAGCTTCTGGCAGCATGCAGAGAGGAGTTTCACAGGCGGCTCAAAGTTTATCATGCCTGGAAATCCAAGAACAAGAAGCGCAATGCGGAGACTGAACAGCGAGCTCCAAAGTCGATTACAGACTATGGTAAGTCTAAGTCGTTCAGGGATGCAGAATAGACAAGTGTTTGCAGGTTTTTATGGCAGGCCAGATACCAGTATATTTATATTTGAAATAGTTTTAAAATTAAAGAAACTAACAAAAGTGGGCCTTTTCCAGAATGGGCAAACTTAGGGATATAAGAAATAATGCTAAAGAAATGTTTTGGTGGGCAGTGTGGGTAGGGAAGGGGATACCACATTGGGATACCACTTTGGCCAAGAATCTAGATTCTCAAAGCACAAACTTTCTGAAGACAAGCATAGGTACTTTGCACTTTATCAGATACTTTATCTTAGTTTATTCTCTTCAGTTGAAATGTTGAGTTTTCCACTCTCGAGGTGGAGGTTTGGGTGGTAGTCATTTGTATAAGATATAAACTGTGTTGAAAACACATTTTAGGGTATTGTGAGCTGAGCTACAAGGTAATAGCTGTCGCTGGGAAATTCTGTGTGAACTACATGTTCATGAAGCAGAAGGAATTCATTTTCCATGTTTTAATAAGTTAAACCCCTTTGTTCCTTATCTGGGCAAAGGTATGCAAACATGTTGTTATGCTCCTGTGCACATCTGTGCATCCTGACCGTCAGATTATTGAGCCCCTCGACTGGCCAATATGTAGTGATTTGGACAACTGGCTGTATATTTAGGCTTGTCTGATGCAAGAAAAAAAAGCATTAGCCGTACATTTCTGGATTCATATATGGTCCCTTGAAAATAATGCCTCGGTTTATGATTTTTTTTTCGCAATACAAACAAATTAATTGGTTTTCAATGCATTTACAATTTTTTTTTTTAAAACATGTCCCTGTACAGTACTACGCTTTTAAAGTGCACTTTATAAAGAGTTTTGAACAGATAAAACTTTTTTTCTGACCTCCTGAACGGATTAATTGGTTTTCAATGGATTTACAAATTTATTTTTAATCATGTCCCTGTACAATATTTATGCCTTTAAAGTGCACTTTATGAAGAGTTTTGAACAGATAAAACACTTTTTTTTTTTCTTTTTTTCTGACCTCCGGAACGGATTAATTGGTTTTCAATGCATTCCTGTGGGAAAACGTGTTTTATGAATTTTTCACAATACGAAATGTCACTCAGAACGCATTAAATTCGTAAACCAAGGAATGCCTGTATACCTTTCTGAAGTCAAATTTAACAAATTTGAAGTCAATTGAACTTGTCATCTATGTTAATTTACAGCAGGCACTACATGATTCCTCCTCGTCCAAATTTTTTTTTTTAGCTGACCCTTTTTATAACTTTATTATTAACAGAGTATTTTTAAATGAAGAAATCCATTCAAAGCATTTTATTACTTTATGTAATGTGTTGAATTCAAAATAACTGGTATTTACTTACAGATTTTGCTCCATTTATGAACAACAAACGTAAGTGTGGAAACGGTAAACAGACTAACCAGAAGGAAGTGGGAAAGGTGTCTAAACCTTATGCTACTAACCATTATAACATTTGCTACAGTTATGGAAACCATGCAAACATTTTATACAAAATGTACTTTTGTGAGTACTCTGAGCATAAGCAGGGCATTAATTAAACTTCTTAGGCTGGCACTAACTGCCTAAATGTGCACTCTAGTAGATAAACCAAAAAAAAGATATTTTATTTTCACACACTCACTGTGTGAGCCCTTTGTTGTTTTTACCATAGACAGACAAACAGAAATTAGTGACCTCAGTTACCCATCCATAAGTACATGTAAGAATCTAGTAGGGTAGGGTGCCATGGACTCTGCAGTTTATGGACATTTTACATGGACTTTCTTAAGGTTCATAGATAGCATCTCACTAATTTTTCTTGTTACCTGGGGTTGCTGTTTAACCCTGTGACAGCCAAACATGTACCTTGTATATCATTGCATCAAGGGGTTAATCAAACTCACAGCTGCAATAGCAGCTACATTTAAGTTTATGTTGGGAGGCGAGGGAAGGGTCAGGAATTCTGGGCCAGCTCAAAGACTAATTAGACACTCCTAAAAAGGGAAGAGGGCTATGACATGCAAAGAGGGAGGGGGCTGCACTAGGAAATTGACCCTTCTTGCAATAGTCTGATGTTCTATCTCGTTCAAAGTCACATTGCAAGTGAATTAAAATTAATTTATGGAAATACTGCAAGTATTTAAAGTTCTAGATTTTTGTGTTTTTAAGTTCTTTCTTAAAGGTGTTATAAATACTAATTCCTTGCATTAAGTTAAAAAGTGTTTAGGTATGCCTCATTCGATCCAGCACTGTGCCTGTCTGCAGCAGCTCTCTCCCGCCTCTCTTCCTGGTCTCACAGAGTTTGCTAAGGCAGTGGGAGCCATTGGCTCCTGCTGCTGTCAATCAAAGTCAGTGACAAAGGAACAGGGGTGGGGCCGTGTCCCACTGTCTGTGCCTATAGACGCAGGCAGCGGGACTCGGGAAGCTGTTTCCTATGGGGGCACTTGCTGGAATGGAGGAGCATGAAGCACCAGTGGGGGACCCGAGAAAAAGGGGAGCGGCGGCCACTCTATGCACTATGTAGTTCCATTGCACAGAGCAGGTATTAACCTGTTGCTGTAAATGCAAAAACATTCTTTTTTTTTTTTTTTAAATAACTTTAAAATGAAATCACTTACACTGAGACACACATTAGTTACCCATTTTCCAAGTTCCTAAATTGTTTTTTTAATGCTTTGCTGCTGCACCCTTTTACTATTGCAATAATTTTTAATAATTAAAATGGCTATGTTTTGCATGGGAAGGTTTTATACTGACTGACAAACCTGTAGCAAAGTGCTTGAGGGGTGAGAAGCAGTAATATGGTGCTGCTTTGTATAATTCTCTAACTATCTTGGTGTGGTGCTATACATTGCTATACATCATCAGCCACATGAAAGCTTTGCTGTAAGGAGCTGTGATGATGTGTGCGCTGCTCTAACATAAAGAAAACAATTACCGGGTCAGATACGGAAAGATTTTTTTTCTCACTGGTTGGTACTGCAAACTTCACTTTGCGCACTTTTTCTCCTTCCTTAATGAATAAGCTGCCTTGTGTCATGCTAAGAAAATATTGCTGCCCTTGGCCCTGAAATTGTTAAAATAGAAAGAAAAATGCAAACAATTCACATTGCATTTCCTGTCTATATATGCTTGGCAATGACAGTTTAATGTTTGCAAATACTTTGTGATCAATCAACTGTTTTCTTGTAATAAACACTCAATGTTTTCTTAAATCATGATCACATGGCTGAGAAAAAAAAACAGTTACCTACCTCTAACAGATTAAGAGTCTGGATCTTTACAGCAGATGGATCTATATGTTTTTTTTTTGTTCAGCTTAAGAAGATCTGCTCGTTGTTTTCTTTTCTGTACTATGTTTTGATTAACTAAAAAGGCCGAAATTAAAGTCATTTAGCATTCTTGAAAAGGCATTTTGACAAACATCTGGTGAATTGTAGTCCCACATTATATTGAAATACATCTGCAAATGCCATGACAACAGCCTCTGTTGCTGATACAATTGTTTGTTGTGTATTTTTGTTTTTTTTCCTCATTGTGGGGGGGTGGACAAGTTAAGTGGAGTTAGGTACACTAGATATTTGGCACACATTTGACATTTCCTCCCTCTATACGGTTTGACTCAGTAAATCATTTGCTAGGGGAGCATTGTCAGCCTACGCTATCTGCAAGATAAATATTTCTCTGTTTGACATGAACACTTGAGTACCGTCCGTGATACTTTTTTTATTTGCACTAACATTCAATTTTGAGGACAAGCTTTCGGGGGAGTGTCCCCTTCTTCAGGTCCAAGCAGTACTCTGTTTGACATGAAAAGGAAAAATGTTTCTGAATCCCAGAGGAAAACATAGAGCAGCTGTATTTACTGTGTCACTACATGCTTCTCATGTATTTGTGATGATGAATAATGTGAATTTTCACAAATAACTGAATACTTTTAAAAAACAACTAATTTTGTGAATGTGACAAACTTTGACAAAGTTCACCTTAACCATGATCAAAATATACAGGCTATTAATTTAAAAACAGTTTTTGAAATCACAAAACACAATTGTGGTAACACTTAACACGCACTCCAAGTCCAGAAAACTCCACCTATTCCCTCCTTGTTTGTCTTCTAGCATCTTCTGCTAGAATGCTCTTTGTTACCACCAATTTCTGGCATTCCTGTGATTGCCATTCCTGTAACACAGCATTTTGTTACCAACCAGCTCTGGCATTTCTCTGATTGCTAGTCCTGTAACAGAGCAACAAAGGAGGTAGTCGGGTGTCACATGAGATTGTTAAAAAGCTAGGCAGATGAAGGTTAGAATGCATTGTAAGGTCCATGTTAACAGCTAATCTAAAGCCTAACAAGGAAAAAAACTGAGGATTGAAGAGTGACCACATACAGGTTGTATTTTTCTAATTTTTGTGACCGATAGAGGCAGGGGGACCCCGTGAGAAGAAATGTTTTTGTTGTTATTCAACATTGTTATAGGTGGGGGGCATTTTCGAAACAAAAACCCCTTAGCAGAGTTTGACGCTTAAAAGTAAACTTTTTGATTTAATAAAAAAATGTCACCTGCACATCTTGAGCAACCAGACATATCCTTAGGCTAAAGCACTCTTCTATATTTATACTGACTTGAATCAAAGTAAAGGGCCTACCTGCTGTTCCACCCTGCCCCTTGCCTCACTAAAGCCACCCATCAATTTTCTGGGTTAGTAATAAGACACAGGTGGTAAGGGGCTGGCCAGCCCTTGGCTTTGCTTCCCCACATTGATATGCATATTAGGAGAGCAGAAAAGGCACTTAAAGAGCAGGCAAGTTTCATTGTGCTGCTATAAAACATATCTAAACCCAACAACAAAAATGTATTATATTGCAGCATACCAATCATTAAATCTGGTGGCAGTTAGAGGGTTGGGATGAGCCATCTAACACCAACAGGGGGGTTTACTATGGGCAGCTTGTTCTCACTTAGTTAAAACCTTTATCTCAAAAGAAGTTTCTGTAACTGCTTAAAAAACGTTAGCTGGAGTTAGACATTAATCTGGTAGTAACTTATGTAAAGTCAATCTAAATCTAAGATTGGTAAACTGCAATATATTTCATTTTGCTTTTGGGTTTAGATATGCTTTTTGCAGTGTTTTTTAAAATTGAACTGTTAACTTTAATGTAATACTGGTTATTCAGTTTTAATTTAAAGTGTTACTAAACCCACAGCAGCAAAATCAGTCTGTATATGCAGTAAAGCATGCTTGTTATACTCACTGTGGAACCTAAGGGGTTAATTCTCCACATTGAGTAAAAGGATGTTTGATCCTCTCTTCTCTGATCCTCCCCTTCCTCCATTGTCCCCTAAATATCTCCTGATTGAAGAGAGCTTTGGAGTCACTCTGCACATGCTCCGTTTGATGTGTATTGCTAGAGAGGGTTTTTTTTTTCTTGGATGTGATCAGCACAAGGCCAATCAGCACTGTCCAGACAGAGGTCAGGGGTCCTACATCCTCCTAGAGGAGAATGAAAACTCCTCCTAAAAGCTTTAACCAGTGCTGTACTGGACACTGATAGAAGTCACAAGACTGCTCCAACTTTGATGAGAAAAGGTATTTAGCAGTTTATATTTACTACATTAATTGCATTTCTATGCTATGTGTGCTGTGGGAGACCAGGTTTAGTGAATGCAGGGTCCAGGGTTTAGTAACACTTTAAATAAGGATTATTTAATGAATAAAGGTTTATTTACATTGTTACCATTGGTGTGATTGTAAGATTAATATACAGTATAACTGAGTCCTCTACTTAGTAATGCATACTTTCCTGAATGTATAAACAATATTCTAATAAGAGTCAGGAAAAAGCAAGATGCCCAACACAGTAAGTCATATGCCAAGTTGACTTTTCAAGAAAAGTTTTGAAAATGAAAAAAATGTGGAAGGCACACATAACAAATTATTGGATTCAAGTTTTTATTTCTAGAGCAGATTTAAAGGGTAACTCCACTTTCCTGAAAGAACAAATTAAAAAAATAATTGGCATGCATAATTGCTACACAAGCCATATTGTAATTTATTAAAATTCAACTTCAGTCTGTAGCTGCTGTAATTTTCTGCAAAATTCAATACAATATGGCAACCTGTAGGACTTTTATGAAAGCGACAGTACAGAACAATATTCTATGAATTTGAGGTAAAATTTGAGGCATCCTCTGCATTAGGAGTAAGAATTTTGGTGAGATACTCTCTAAGTTATTAATACTTCCAAAAGTATGCAGACCCTGCAGTCTTTCTCATTAGAACACTGCAAGTGCATGAGCTGCTTATATTGAACACAGACACTCCCATTCAGGAAACAGTATTCCAAGGACATAGTTGAACATACAGCTTTTTCTTAAGAACAGAAACAGGTAGGACTCTGCTCCAAAGTTTGTTAAAATCCTTGCAATGTGCATAGATCATCCAGAGGGGATTGTATTTTCTCAACAAAAGTGGAGCTACTTAGTAAAAGTTTAAGCTGGTTGGTAAGAAACGTCAACACACCTATTTCCCTTCAGTATGAAAGAATAGATAATAATATAGAATCTAAACTTATTTAAAATTCAATGGTGTCGTAGGACTGGTACCACATCTAACATTATGCAAAACGTTCCTGCAAATAAAGCCTAGGGTGTCTGCTACAGACAGCTTACCTGCAAACGACTCCTGAATATTTACCCATTCCCTTCTGTAAAAACTCAGACCTAGCTCACAAATCCTTTAAGGGCTAATTGAGCTTCATATTATTTCAGCAAATATGAAGGGAAAGTACTAAGCCATGTAATATAATTTCATCCCTTTTAAAAGTACACCATTTTTCAAATTTAGACTTGAAAGCCAAGCACTGTAATAAAGTAAATGCTACATAATATGACAAACTTTAGCTTTAGGCAATAATACCGCAGAATGGACAAAAAGCAATACAGGCCCATTATCCTGTATGAATTTCTAATGCAGTATCGATGGTTGTTATGAAACTGGGCACGTAGTATAGCTAATGGAGAATTTTTCTATCATTTTATGCTCTAGATAGGATGGATAGAACATACGCCAGGCTGCAGTCAGTATCATAGTGCTAGTCAAGGAAAAAGACCCTTACACAAACTGACTTACAAAAAAATACATTTACCGATCAGCAGTCATCTGTCACTGACCTAAGTGCTTGAGTTCTCTTTGTACTGCTGTAACAGACCTGTAAACTTTCACAAGATGTGTAAAGTGCAGTTTTTCATTACATAAGATCACTGCCATTAGAAACTCAATAATGTGGGGTTGTTTCCTCACTTAGCAATGGTACATAGAGCCAAGCATATATTTTTGTATGCTCTGGTGGTCAACCTAAAATAGTAGGGCTATAGTTTATTCCATCTTGCATACAACTCTATTAGATATTAGTCTTCATCAGTGCAAGGTATTGCATTGGTCTTCGCTATATAGTAGGTTTTCAAGGCTGCCAAGACAGAATATTGAACTCACTGAGATTATGGTGAGGAGCTTAGATCAACTGAAAACCCCTTCACTAGGCATAATGGTACAGCTTTATTAAAAAAAAGAATTTCATCACTAAACATGGCTTACTTGTTATGTAACTGGAGGCAATAAAAAAAGAAATTGACATTTTTGATGAATGATTGTTATTTGTATGTAGCCCAACAGAACCCAGTTGTACAGCTGCCTGCCAGGCAACAGGAGATTGAAGTAAACAGACAACAGCGTTATTTCCGTATTCCATTTATTCGTCCTGCTGACCAGTACAAGGAGCCTCAGAACAAGAAGAAGGGCTGGTGGTATGCACACTTTGATGGTCCATGGATTGCTCGTCAGATGGAACTGCACCCAGACAAACCTCCCATCTTATTAGTTGCAGGTGTGCCGCCTTTTTTTTTTTTTTTTTTTTTTAAATATTGCCTAGTAAAATCTAGTATCAGAGGTAGGCTAAAGATATTTTGACACTGCACTAATAGTTAGCACTCCTCTTTTTTTCAAAGTTATAATTTTGGTATAAAGATGTGAAGTGCACTCAAGAATATTTCCTTTGATAAACATTGAATAAAAACCCATGCAAAAGGTATAGCCCAGTTCGAATTTCAAATGTATTAATCCAGCAGACGAGGCTCCCCTCCAATTCCATTCACCCAGGGTCGAGAACGGTTTTCTTCTTCCTTTAACATATGTGTAAAGTTTTGATTGTTATATACATATGTTTGTACACTTTTTTATATGCATAATAATATTTTTAGATTTTTTTAAATCCTAAGTCTAGCCAATTTATTATTTTTTTTTCAAAGTGCATCTGAAACAAAAAAATGTCTGTATATGTGTGTGTATACTATATTGCCCAAAGTATTGGGATGCCTGCCTTTAAACGAACATGCACTTTAATGGAATCCCAGTCTTAGTTGGTAGGGTTCAATATTCAGTTGGCCCACTCTTTGCAGCTATAACAGCTTCAACTCAACTGGGAAGGCTGTCCCATCAGGTTTTATGAGTGTGTCTATGGGAATGTTTGACCATTCTTCCAGAAGCGCATTTATGAGGTCAAGTACTGATGTTGAACGAGAAGGCCTGCCTCGCAGTCTCCACTCTAATTCATCCCAAAGGTGTTCTATCAAGTTGAGGTCAGGACTCTGTGCAGGCCAGTCAAGTTCCTGCTCCCCAAACTCACTCATCCATCTTTATGGACCTTGCTTTGTGCACTGATGTGCAGTCATGTTGGAGCAGAAAGGGGCCATCCCCAAACTGTTCCCACAAAGTTGGCAGCATGAAATTGTCCAAAATGTCTTGTTATGCTGACACCTTAAGAATTCCCTTCACTGGAACTAAGGGGTCAAGCCAAACCCCTGAAAAACAACACCACACCATAATGCCCCCCCCCCCCACCAAACTTTACACATGGCACAATGCAGTCAGGCAAGTACCGTTCTTCTGGCAAAAGCCAAACCCAGACACGTCTATTGGATTGCCAGACAGAGAAGCGTGATTCATCACTCCAGAGACCACTTCTCCACTGCTCTAGAGTCAAGTGGCAGCGTGCTTTACACCACTTCATGTGATGTTTTGCATTGCACTTGGTGATGTAAGGCTTGGATGCAGCTGCTCGGTCATGGAAACCCATTCCATGAAGCTCTCTGCGTACTGTTGTGCTAATCTGAAGGCCACACGAAGTTTGGAGGTGTTTAGCTATTGACGCTGCAGACAGTTGGCGACTTCTGTGCACTTCAGCATTCGCTGACCCCGCTCTGTCATTTTACATGGCCTACCACTTCATGGCTGAGTTGCTGTTGTTCCCAGTTGCTTTCACTTTGTTATAATACCACTAACAGTTGACCGTAGAATATTTAGTAGCAAGGAAATTTCATGGATGGACTTATTGCCCAGGTGGCAACCTATCACGGTACCACGCTTGATTTCACTGAGCTCCTGAGAGCGACCCATTCTTTCACAAATGTTTGTAGAAGTAGTCTGCATGCCTAGGTGCTTGATTGTATGCACCTGTGGTCATGGAGGTGATTGGAACACTTGAATCTGATGATTTGATGGGGGGTGTCCCAATACTCTTGGCAATATTGTGTATTTGAGCATAACTTTCGCTAAACCCCACCCCAAAAAAAGACTGGATTTAATTTGGGCTTTTTGAGTTGAGAAAAAAAAAAAAAAAATATATATATATATATATATATATATATATATATATATATAAAAATATTTTTTATTATTTATTTATTTAGTAGTGAAATCCTACAGATTTACCCTGTTCACTATTACCAACTGTAGGGAAGGGAAAAGTCTTGACATTTGAAAACAAAAGCCTTTGGATGGGTTTAAATGGCTGCCTGAATCCTGCCTACTTTTGGCTTCATCAGTACTGCAGAATATATGAGGGAACAGATCTCCCACCTACTGCTTTTGGGATTTATTGAACCCTACAAGTAATAGTCCAGTATATTCTGGAGCTGGCAGTTTCCATAGCCAAAAACAGACATGGCTTGACTATCTACTTTTGGTAGTTTTAAAAGATTAACATTACTTTCATAAAACATAACTCTAACAAACCTTTTAACACACTTTATCCTGTTAACACTCTCCTCAACATGCTTCAGATCAGTGGGCAACCTGGATTTGGAGCCTGGTGATGATCTAGTCTTCCTAAAAGATGGTTGACCCTGCAGTACTGTGCATACTTGGCCTTTTCTTCATAGTCCCCAGTGCAAAAGCTGTCTACTTGCAAGGGGAGGAGGACTTAGTGCCACCTGTGTCTTGCTCCTGGTCCAGGTCATCAGCTGATTTGTTGGATGTAGAGGGGATCTATAGTACATATATATTATATATAGTACAAAAAGTGCAAAAGGGGGCTTTCAGAGTTACGTTGTTTAAAAATATTGTTCAGTTTTTGAAAATTAATTAGAATTGCATAAACGTAAACATATTTGTATGTGGAACATATCGATTTGTAGAATTTGGTTTTTTTTTCTGAAAAATGTGTGTTATTTTTAGGCAAAGATGACATGGAAATGTGTGAACTGAACCTTGAAGAAACTGGATTAACAAGAAAACGAGGCGCAGAAATTCTTCCTAGGCAATTTGAAGAGATTTGGGAGCGTTGCGGTGGTATACAGTACTTGAGTAACGCTATTGAAAGCAGACAAGCTCGGCCAACCTACGCCACAGCAATGCTGCAAAACCTACTCAAGTAGCTGGCTCATGAATGAATTGTTGCACTAAGAGATTAGTACATATGGGTTTATGTAAAGGGAAGTAACCTCTTCAAGAGGAACTAGGCATTCCATAATAATAGAGAAGTTTTAATATAAAGCAGACAGGTTTTTATTAATTGCAGAGATTTCTTAATTCATACTTTTTGTTGTTTTGATCTAGTAGCACAATAGAGTTGTTGTCTGTGGCCCTAGTAGGCTATTTTTTAGGGTTTTTTAAAAATTTTATTTATCATGCTTCTTGAGGCCTTACCTTTGATAATTTGTTTCTTCTGCATCAACATAAAGTCATATAGGGCAATATTTTCCAAGCAGGAGGTAGCCATGAAGCACAGTCCGCCTTACTTTTTTTGAGGATCAGTTTACCTTCATGGCTGTTCTATTTTTTTTAACACTTCAGAAACTTTAAAACATCACAAAAGTTTTTTTTAAGAGGAATGCAGAAATTAAAAATTTTTGAACAGACTGGCTTTTTTTTGGCAGAAGAGACATATGTCTTATCTGTCTGTTCACAATCTTTTTGATAATGTAGCACAGCTCAGTGTACAATCCCAGCATTTGCTGGGTCCGGGATTAATTAATTCTCATGCACACACTCAGGAGTTACGTCATCACAGTGTGGCCAGTTAGGATGGCTGAAAATCTCAAACCCATTTAAAGATGCTGGCAACACATCTCTGAAGGGGAGGTGAGTATAGTACAGCTTTGGTCGAGAGAATCTTTTTTTCACAGCTTTGACTTAATCCTTAAAGTAGAGAGAGACAGAGAAATATAAGGTCTACCTATGTTCTCTTTCCTCCGAAATGCTAGTTAAATAGCTCCCATGCTAATATAATGGTTTCAAGCACTTGCAGAGCCACTGACCTGGAATATATACGCAGAAAGGCAGTTCTGGCTTTACTGGCTGCATGTTTGTTGCAGGTCACTGACTCAGAAAGAACTGATGTGAGAGTATCCGCAGGTTGCCTGTCATTTGGCATTTTCAGAAGGGGTATAGCAGTAGCATCTTTAGCACAAGTTTCTTTTTAAACTGTCATTTTTTTATAAGCTGTGCACCAGTATTCCCTTGATAAGCAAATCTATATACTATACATTTACAGAAGCTCACAGTGTGTAATAGGATTTTTACATAACATTTTAGGATAGGCTAAAACTGATTTTAGAGTTTTAATTTAAGCAAAGTAACCTAGCAATCTGAGAAGGGTTATTTTGTTTGTTAAAACAGAATTCAAGGAGAAGATGCCTTTTTTCAGGTTTGATACCTGCATGTGTACATGTGTTTGTGTATGTTTTACTGCACTGAGATTTATGTTTGGCTTGACCACTAAATAATTAATTGATTGGCTTTTGACATGTGGAAAGGTTTTAAGACAAATATCTCTGACCTCTTGTACTGAAGATGCAGAGACCCATCTTTTTTCTAATATACACTGTTGCCATTTTGTCTAGCTGACATACTCATTTTGAATTGCTAAAGGCAGATAAACTCTTAATTTTGCAACAGAAGTTACACTTTGTAAGGGGATATTCCCTCAGCTTAGTGAGTGTGTTGAAGTTTCATCCAGCAAAGACCCAATCAAGTGCAAGGAAAATAAAACATATTTTTGCTTGCACATGATTGGGTGATGGAAGTCAGTGGAGCTTCACTTTATTAACTAAGCTCTGGGTAAAATTCCTTTGCAAAGTGAACAGTCTGTTTGCCTTTAGTAAATCAACACCCTACTGTATGATTTTTCAGGCTGTTATACATTTCTTACTTTGAGACTAGTCATCCTCAAACTATAGGAGAACATTGTCATGTCCAAAGCTAATGACCATGTTGTGACTCTTGTTATTTATAATTGTCTTCATTATTTTGATGTCCTCTCCGTTAATAAGAATAAAATCATTTGGTTGTGACTTGAACCTGATTACTGAAAGTAAACTTCTTGTTTCTTAAATGCTTTATAAAAAGTAATTTTGAACCACTGTGTTTACCACCTGTCACATTAGAAAATGTTACTGCAACCTGGTCAAAAAATAAATCAGAATGTCATCAGTTCAGAATCTGTTTTAAAGCATCTTTAAAACCAACCTTTGTTTACCAATTATTCACATTGATTGATTGTATCATTTTTATTAATCTCATTTGAAAGTGGAGTAACTTGTAGCTTTAATTTACAATACTGGGCATGAAAGAATCAATTGGGGAAAAAGGGAGACCATTACCGCAGGGTGAAATGTAGGAGGATGATGGGAGGCTTATGGCAGATAAGTGCCTATTCACACTGACCTATATAAAAAACACACAGTTTTAGGAGAGCCAAATTCTCAATGCTTCTGTCTAAAACCAATCAAAGAAATACAGGTGAAACTCGAAAAATTAGAATATCGTGCAAAAGTTAATTTACTTCAGTAATGCAACTTAAAAGGTGAAACTAATGTATGAGAGACTCATTACATGCAAAGCAAGATAGTTCAAGCCGTGATTTGTCATAATTGTGATTATGGCTTACAGCTCATGAAAACCTCAAATCCACAATCTCAGAAAGTTAGAATATTGTGAAAAGATGCAATATTCTAGGCTCAAAGTGTCCCACTCTAATCAGTTAATTAAGCCATAATGCCTGCAAAGGGTTCCTGAGCCTTTAAATGGTCTCTCAGTCTGGTTCAGTAGGAATCACAATCATGGGAAAGACTGCTGATACGACAGTTGTGCAGAAAACCATCATTGACACCCTCCATAAGGAGGGAAAGCCTCAAAAGGTAATTGCAAAAGAAGTTGGATGTTCCCAAAGTGCTGTATCAAAGCACATTATTAGAAAGTTATGTGGAAGGGAAAAATGTGGAAGAAAAAGGTGCACAAGCAGCAGGGAGGGACCGCAGCCTAGAGAGGATTGTCAGGAAAAGGCCATTCAAAAGTGTTGGGGACTTTCAGAAGGAGTGGACTGAGGCTGGAGTCAGTGCATCAAGAGCCACCACACACAGATGGATCCTGGACATGGGCTTCAAATGTCATATTCCTCTTGTCAAGCCACTCCTGAACAAACAACGTCAGAAGCGTCTTACCTGGGCTAAAGAAAAACAGACCTGGTCTGTTGCTCAGTGGTCCAAAGTCCTCTTTTCTGATGAGAGCAACTTTTGCATCTCATTTGGAAACCAAGGACCCAGAGTATGGAGGAAGAATGGAGAGGCACACACTGCAAGATGCTTGAAGTCCAGTGTGAAGTTTCCACAGTCTGTGTTGATTTGGGGAGCCATGTCATCTGCTGGTGTTGGTCCACTGTGCTTCATTAAGTCCAGGGTCAACTCAGCCGTCTAGCAGGAGATTTTGGAGCACTTCATGCTTCCTTCCACAGATGAGTTTTATGGGGATGCGGATTTCATTTTCCAGCAGGACTTGGCACCTGCCCACACTGCCAAAAGCACCAAAACCTGGTTCAATGGCCGTGGGATTACTGTGCTTGATTGGCCAGCAAACTCGCCTGACCTGAACCCCATAGAGAATCTATGGAGCATTGTCAAGAGAAAGATGAGAGACATAAGACCGAACAATGCAGAAGAGCTGAAGGCCGCTATTGAAGCATCCTGGTCTTCCATAACACCTCAGCAGTGCCACAGGCTGATAGCTTCCATGCCACGCCGCATTGAGGCAGTAATTGCTGCAAAAGGGGCCCAAACCAAGTACTGAATACATATGCATGCTTATACTTTTCAGAGGTCCGATATTGTTCTATGTACAATCCTTGTTTTATTGATTGCATGTAATATTCTAATTTTCTGAGATTGTGGATTTGGGGTTTTCATGAGCTGTAAGCCATAATCATCACAATTATGACAAATCACGGCTTGAACTATCTTGCTTTGCATGTAATGAGTCTATCTCATATATTAGGTTCACCTTTTAAGTTGCATTACTGAAATAAATGAACTGTTGCATGATACCTGTATTGTCACTAACAGTAATGGATTATAAATGGGAGCGTTTCGAAATGCACTACACAGTTTATGTTCCTTTGAGCAATAAGTATAAAAGACTAAAACCTATATGTCTTATTAGATGTGCTAAAAAAATAAATGCTGAAATAGCAAAAGGGCATGCTACTATCATTTGTAAAAGAATACAAAAACACTGCAAAAAGACAAATGCATGACAGATTGCTAAATAGAATGACAAAGATATCAATGTTCTGGCTACTATCTACAAAAAATAACATCATACTATGATGAACCAAAGTGTTATACTGCCTTTGGGGGTAAGGAATGATTTTTTTTTTTCCCTGTTAGAATAATCTGGACAAGACTGTAAAAGTATTTTTGCCTCCCTCTGTATCAACTGCAGCCTTTGGACAAGTTATGGTTTATGGACATGTGCCACTTTTTTAGATTGACTATGTAACAGATGGCTGTTAGCACAGTGGAGCAGAATATGCCAATCATTCTAGGGAGAATGCATTTTGTAACTCTTAGCCTGCAAATGTTGGTGTGGAATGTTCCTTTCAGTGTGGGAAGTGTTATGGAGTTCTTGCCTAGGACACTGGTATCAGAAGGGTGAGGCCATCAGGGTCGAATGAGTAGTTGTAAGGAGGAGTTGTAAGAGCTTGTCAATAAAGCCAACGATTCATGCATTGAAATTCGTCTGGTTCAGCAGGAACTGGCCGAATTTCGATCCGTGTATGGGCAGGGAGGTTGTACACAAGTCAACTAGTCCTCTATCTGTTGACTTCTGTACAACCAGCCTGATGGTTTTTTCATACTCAATCAGTGCCACCAGCTGTAGCCGGCAACACTGATCACTGTATTCTGTTGGCGGACAAGGCTTCACACTGTCAGATTGCATTGGCTCGGGGCAACGGATCCCCCCATCTGCATCAATGGGGAATTGGTCTTTTTTTTTTTTCATTCAACCTGCTTTGACTCTACAGAACAGTGCACAGAATATGTATAGGCCAATATTTCACACATTTTCCTTGCTTTATATCATTTTATGTGTTATGGCTGTA